CAAATATGTATTGGCAAAAAGGAAACGGTACAGTGAAAATTTTCATTTAGCAGAGTGATTGTTTTATATAGATATAGATTGTTTTGCTATTTCAACTTATTCTTGAAGAAACATTCATTTTAAAAGAAAAACAATCAAACAGGACATCTACCAATTGTATATTACTCCATTTGTTTCAAATTATAAGACATTTTTTCTTTTATAGGTACAATAATTTTACTATGTATCTAGACACAGTGTATATCTAAGTACATAGCAAAAACTATGTATCTAAAAACCAAAATGTCTTAAAGGTTTACAATGAAAAACAATACTCACTCTAATTCCAAATTATGAGTCGTTCTGGCTCTAGATATATATTATGATTATGGATCTTAAAAGAGCAGAACGACTTACAATTTAGAATGGAGCGAGTAGATAGAATCGTACTATTGTTATAATGAGAGACAGTGGCTGATACACAGAACTCGAACAAGAGGGAGGCCAATCTATACTGCAAAGATATAAGTACCGAAAGTCCTATGTCTATGTCATACTAATGACTAACAAATATACTACCCCGAAAATGATTTTTTGGCACACAACCTCTTTGATTAATAGAGGCAGACACATCAAGTCTTCAAGAGAATGGCTCCGTAAATGGTCAGGCAGCCTTTAGGCAATGCCTGCCTCAGAAAATCATTTACAAAGGCGGGCATCCTAAGATTCGATCACCTTAGGATACCCATCTCTATACAAATCGATTTTAGAGGCAGGCACTTTAAAATATCTATCTCTAAAAATCGCTATTAACAGAGGTAGACATTCTAAATGGATTTTTCTAAAAATCGATTAACAGACGCGGGCATCATAGGATGTCTATCTCTAAAAATAGTTGCATCCAAAAATAATTCATAATTGTTTCGTATGAACTTAGATTAAGACAAGCTTCGGTGACATGTGAAGTCGAATCATGAGCATTAGTCTTTCATACATTGCTAAATTTTTATGGGTTCAGCGATAGTTATTAGCAACATAGGAAGCCTTATCATGAGCATTAACACTGAGTATCTTGCTAAAATTTCATTAATTCGGCCATAGTTATTAGTAACATGTGAGGTCGAATTATGAAAACTAGCATTTACATATGATGTTGAATTTATAGGCAGAACCTCTGTTCTATTAGCATATTGTACACCATATGAGAATTGAGAGTAATTGATTGAATAGTTAGCATCACTATAGCCAATTCTGTCATTCAACAGCATGTTTTGTGGTGAAACCACACATATCATGAACTTTTAGCTGAAGAATAAGAATATACATATTGCATGTTGCTAGTAGCATTAAAACTCAAAGAATCCATAGTTGTCATTGGATCTTAAACATGATATCCAGAATTATGTTATATATGATGAGGACCATTATCAACACAAGTATTAGCTGATGCAATATATCTAGTATCATTATGACTAGCGACACCAACATGAGAATTCATAGCACTTGCAAAATAATTATTAGAATTATATGATGTATTTGTAGTTGTACCTGTGATCTTGACCACTTACTTATTTTTACAATAACAAGAGCAACACATCGCAAAACAACAAGCAAGATCATAAGAGGTCAAAACCAGTTGTGATCGGCCTTTTAGACTAGATGCAACGGTGATGGTGAACACAAGAAGATGGATCAAATCAAGAATATGGCTAGGGCAAGTAGAGCCAAAGAAATCTTTTCCAGTAGAGTCACCAAAAAGTATGTTGACGCAAAGATTGGTCACACGTCACAAGTGCTAGATCGCACGGGTCGCAAACGGACCGAGGCAGCTCGACTCTGCAGAAACTAGCCCAGCTGATTCAAGGAGTCAGCCCAGCCAATTTTCTCATGTTCAGCCTGAGAAAGCCCTAGGGTAGCGAGGATCACACTTATATGGTGAAGAACGGCAAGGTTTATGAGCAAACCAGATAACCAATCATACTTACATGACAAAGAACGCTAGTTTCTGGACAAATTAGCAAAGGAACCGTTGAAGCTTAGGTCTGGAGGGACCCTGTCACCAGGGCAAGAACTTCGCTGAGCTGCCCTAGGTTAGCTATCAAGCCTAGGGTGCCATCTTTGGTCATCAGATTAAGCAATGAACAACAACATGGAAGTTCGAAGAGATTAGGGCAAAGAAAGGTAAAGTAAATTGTAATTTGGATTGATTGTGTGTGTTAGTCACCTCAATCGGATGTGTCCATTATATTTATAAGGAGACGATGATCTTATCCAATAAGGGGTTGAAAATCCTTACAAAACACCTTAAAACACAATTTAAATCAAATCTAGGCCTGCTAAAATTAGCTTGGCCGGTTCCAGAATCAGCCTCACCAGTTTGTGCATGTCTAGGAGAGGAAACCTTTCGAAAATCATAATTAATTCATCCGAATCCAAACAATACGAATCATATATGTTTTTCGATCAGGTCGACAAGAGGAATGCAATGGTGCAATCCATTCTTCCGTTTGAGAAAGTTGCAAAACCAGCTTGGGAGCCAGCTAGGCCAGTTTTGGTTAGGTCACCCCCCCTGAAAAGCTATTTTCTTCATCCATGCTCCAAATGAGATGATCCAAGTATGATTTTTTACCGCCTTTGATGATAGAAACATGATGGCAGAGTCTATCATGCACTTTGGACAACTTTAAATGTCAACACCCTCCTCAGTGTTGACGGTTGTTAATGTTAATTATAAATCATCAACATAACCTGCATATATGCTTAATTTCATCACCAAACATAATTATAGGGTTTGATTCTAACAAGTTCCACGAATTTTGGTGCTATCACTTGTCTCGCGGGATATTTATTTTTTCATAGAACAAAACTATCTTAAATGATGAATTGGAGTACACCATTGCAAAGAGCTCGTCGAGCTGATCGAAACGGATATATTATTTGCTATATTTGGAGCTCAGAATAAAAAGATATAAATTTTGCAAATAAAAGAAAAACTCTACATTATGAGTTGCGGGATTTTAATGAGATATGGTGGAAAGTTCAGTACCAATGAGGCTATTCAGAGAGGGATGGTGCCTGGCGCCCCTCATAAATAGCAGCCCCTACCCCTCTCTCTCAGCAGATTTCTAAAACCCTAATCCATATCTCTCATTCAGATCAACATACACCAAAGAGATTAGGTCTAGAGCTCTCCAATGTAGTAGATTAGTAACTCGGGAGTGAAGGTCGAGTTGGGCTCATGCTCAAGTTCTAGATCTTGAAGGCTAGGAAAAGCCTTGTATCTTTACTTCTACATTTTGTAAGACTTATTATCAATTTATCATATTCTTATCTACATAGCTATACTTACTTTGAATATATATCTGCTTAGTTATGGTTATCATTATTTTTGTGTGTGGGTTCATAGAGTGCTTAGCCTGCTAGTTTACCGGTTAGGCTAAGTAGTCGAGTCTCGTGTAAGCATGGTGCTTATACGATGCTCTGTCTGTGAGTGCACCCTATTTTCTGGTTGGGTGGTAGCAGCGAGAGGTGACAGTCCCATCTATCATTTGTAGTCCACTCCAAATTGAGCAGGTTTTTAAATTGTAGGACCATAGCTGCGCCAGTAGAGTTATCTATTGTGGGTGCTCTACCGTCTAAGCGGCGTCCTAAAGTGCATAAGAGTAGAGTTAGTCTTAGCTATAGTTGGATGTATATATACTTTGACCATGTAATAGGAATATCATAGGAATATACCTCACTCGTTGTTTTTTCGAGTTGACTAGTTTACGTTATCTTAGTGATCTATCTTCTGAGTGTCATTATGCTTTATTCCTATGATTATATTCATTCTTACTTTAGCTATGCTGGTATGTTGATTAGTAGACTTTTCTTTGTTATCCAATAAATCTTTACTCCATTGTTTTCTTGTGGTAAAATATAAATAATGATACATGAAATACTTTCAGTAAAATATTACAATGGTATTCTGTGCGCTTGCGGAATTCTTCATATTCTATTTGCGCTTAATAAACACCAACACTCAGCCTGGCTCCCGAGATATGAAGATTTTGAGTGTTTCTCCAAGGCCAAGCTCACCGAGCAATTACTCAGATACCGACATTGTTAACACATGGTTAGTATATATTAATTGATATTAATGTATTTCAAATAATTTTAAGTAACAATATGATAAATTAAGAGCAATAAAAAATAGTTGCACATAACAAATATCATGATGATGTTTATTTAGCTCAAGCAATAATAATTTATCTCATGTAACATATCCTTATATGAGCAACCAAACATAATCTCAACTCGACCAGGCATACAAGCAACCAAATATGATAGTACTGGCCCCGTTCGGCTTACCTTAAATCCGACTTGTTCATTTTTTTTTCAGTCGGAACAATGTTTTTCTCTTACAACATTTCAACAAGAACAGTATTTTTCAGCCGCTTTCAGTCTAGTTTCAGCGAACCGAACGGACCAGTGTTGTAAGGGCTCAGTCTATCTCTCGGGAGCCTGGCTCCTAGAGACGAGCCAAAGCTAGACCATACGCAAACCAATCGTGCCCTTAGTTGATCCACTCGCTTCCCATGACGGCGTCACCATCAGAGACAAAATTGCTACTCTAAATAAAATTATATTGTACGAGAGAGACATGGTACCGTGCTAGAGAGAACATTAGCTAGTCTCGCACATCTCTCACGGCATGCACAGCACTAGGATTTGACGTTTTTTTTAATTATTTTTTAGAGTTTACGTCACTGGCGATTTCTTCATCTCCGTTGGAGAACGCCCAAGGGAATAGAATTGGGCTTTCTGGGCCGAGAGCTGACGCGAGGTCTGGCAGTCGCTCTGATGCCGCTGCTGGGCTGTGGGCTCACACTATCCAGGCGAAAGAAAAGGGAACCTAGCTTCCTTCTATCTTGCTCGCTGGTAAAATCCTCGCCGCCGCCTCAACTCCCCTCGCTATCGCCGCCGCCTCCTCACCTCCCCGCAACCCTCGGTTCCTCCGCGCCGCAAGCGTGAACGCCTCCATGTCTACGGCACTCAAGAGGCCAGCCACGACGACAGCATCGATGTTAGTCGCAGCGGAGACGGCGCGGGTGACGCTCTCGTTCAAGGTCGTCGGCAACGGGCTCCACAAGAACTTCGGCATCGGGAGGTGCATCCGCTCTGCCCCCTTTTCCGTCGGAGGCCACAATTGGTGTATTCTATACTACCCAGATGGATGCAACGAGGACTGCAAGGACTACGTCTCCATCTTCCTCGAGTTCATGAGTGAAAACACTGAGGCTACGGCTCTCCGCGAGTTCAGGCTTGTCAACCAGACAACTGGGATCTCAACATCCATTTTATGCACAGGTCAGGCGGTTCACAACGCTGCAAACACGACCTGGGGTTGCAGAAAGTTCAAGAAGAAGGGCGACCTGGAATCGTTGGGATACCTCAAGGACGAATGTCTCGAGATCGAGTGCGACCTCACCGTTATCAAGGGGGACGACATTGATCTGCCACCGTCAGATCTGCATGATAATCTTGGCAAACTGCTGGAGTCAGAGGAGGGGGTGGATGTGATCTTCAAGGTTAAAGACGAGCTTTTCAGAGCCCACAAAATTGTGCTTAAGATGAGGTCGCCTGTCTTCAAGGCTGAGCTTACGAGGGACAAGAGAAAGCGAATCATAATAGTTAAAGATATGGAGCCTCCTGTTTTCAAGGCATTGCTTCGCTTCATCTACACTGATTCTTTGCCCTCTATAGGTGATCTTGATGGCGATGAGAATGATGAGATGGCGAGACATTTGCTTGTGGCTGCAAATAGGTATGGATTGGTAAGGATGAAGTTGATGTGTGAGAGCATCCTTTGCAACAGGCTTGCTGTTCAGAATGTGGCTGCAACTCTAGCTTTAGCTGATCAGTGTCGCTGCTACAAGCTCAAAGATGCTTGCATTCAATTTATCAGCTGAATAGAATGGGTGATGTGGCAGCAAGCCAAGGTTTTGAGGACCACAAATAGGCATGCCCTGCCCTCATTGCAGAGATATGCAGAAAGCAGCGATGCCTCACAAGATTTAGTCTGCATTGTTCTTCCAAGGTTAACTTCTGAATTAAAAGATTTCTTAGTTTGTCCCAGGAGAGATTATAAAGGGAGGGTATTTTATTTTGCAATGTATGGATCTATGGTACTGTAGCTCAATAATGTCCATATAGTCATTTTGATCTACAGGCTAGTATGCTTTGACTGTTTCAGTTTTCATTTTGTGGTGTTTTTTTATTTCTGAAAATTACAAGTACTTCCTCTGTTTCAAATTATATAGTTTTGTCCTAAGTTAAATTTCTTTAACTTTGACCAAGTGATAAAGAATACATCAACATCTACAACTTTCAAAGTAGTTTCATCCAATCCACCATGATATATATTATATGTCTTCATAGTTACTTGAAATTTTAGATGCCAATATATTTTTCTAGAAAATTGGTACTAGTTTGACTTGAGACAAATCTAAAGTGGCCTAAAATTTAGAACTGATGGAGTATTGGCAAAGTCGAACATCCGTGAACTATGGACATGTTCATTCTGACATGATGAAGCCTTAGCAGATAGCAACACTGTTGCAATTTTGATCAAGCTGATTAAACCTGTGATATTTGGCATTTCAAAAATATTTTTGTTACATCTGAAAAAGTTTTGTAACTTTTGTTCCACATGGTGCAGTGGTGAGTCGCGGGTTCGAAGCAGCCTCTCCGCAGATTTTATGGGGGGAAGGCTTGCCTCTGTTTTTCCCTTCCCCTGACCCTACTTATGTGGGAGCCTCCGGCACTGGGTCTACCCACATGTTCTCTTTAAATGGAGTCATGTAAAAATCTAGATCCGTAGAATTCACTTTTTTACATTTGTTGATAATATACCTTTCAGATTATAAGCTATGCAGTTTTTTATTAACATTTATGCCATTCTAGACTCATTTTCATTGTTATTATCTTTAGATTAGTGTAATAACTAGGTAATATCTTTTGTGGTGTTCCTTTCCAGATGAAAGACATTATTTTCTTTTGAAAAATGTACTGTGTTACTAGTTATCAGTTCTTCCCCCTCTTTTCTGGCCCCTATGTTCTATTGTTCCTTTTCAATGGTTAAGGCAATGATAAATAAGTTCCCTTGACTTTGTAGAGATATTCTAGATCCATTTAACGTGTTTTGTTCTTTTGTAAAAGGAAAACATGTGTTGATGTATAGTTAGTCCCTCTAGTTACAATAAGTGACAGCACACTATCAAGAGTACTACCATTCAATTGATTTAGGGAGGTTGGGCAGCACCATCAGGGTTGAGAATTGAGGTCTAGGAGAACTGGGACAAGGTCAAGATGATTTTTTTTTTCTACTGAGAAGCCAATGACACGCTAGATGCATGTGCTCTTTGATTGCGACCATTGCATTGGATTGCGGCACACTTCAATCTTTGAGCACCATCATTATTTGTTTAGTTCAAAGTCGTTTGCTTTAGCTTGTAATCCTTTTTATTAAGACAAGATAGTTGCATGCTTCAGTTCATCGTTTACCTAGGTACTTAAAGAATGAAGCAAGCACCAAAAAGAAATGTCAAATTTTAACTCTCAGTATGTACTAAGGATCCAAATGTTAACGGCCCCGTTCGCTGGTCTGAAACTTGGCTGAAATTGGCTGAAAAACACTGTTTCGGCTGAAAAAAGAAACCAAACAAGCCGATTATGGGGTAAGCCGAATAGGGCGTACACTATTTGAGTGCTTACTGATAACCAAATTTACAGTTGGTTCATTGCTTTGCCATGTATTGTGACTAAATTACTTTAGCAAGTACTGTGTATCCATATTAATGGACAAGGAATCCTGAAAGAAGAAATCCTTATCCTCTCATGTGCTCTCTCCAGAGTGAACGCAGATTGTTTTGTTGAAGTTTGTGTCTCCTCACTCCTATGTTTTGATTTAATATAGGTTCACACTAAAGCCCCATTTGGCACAGCTCAGTTTCGCTAATAAAGCTGTTTTTTTAGAAAACTGCTCTGCAAACAACTTTCTAGGTGAAGCTGAGCTGTTTTGAAAAAAATGTTTGGCAAAACAGCTTCATCAACAACTTCGCATGATTGAGAGAGGGAAATGAGGGAGAGAGCTGTAAAAGCTACTTTTTTAGCTTCATCTCTCCCTATTCCTTTGTGGGAACATAAAAAGAAGAAGCTGGAAGCTGTTTTGAAAAAAAGGTGTTTGACAAGTTGTACCAAATGGAGCCTAAAAGTGTGTTAAACCTATCCTTACGTCTAGGTAACTTTTTTTTATTTCAAATTGGATATAACTGTAAATATGGAATTGCTTTACCTGGGTCACGCTAATGTTTATGTAAAAATAGTTTAGGTGGGAATTATTTTTTTATTTTGGTCTTAGTAACTTTTTTTTCTCCCCATAAACATAAGAGAGCCACACATCTTTTCAAGGAATATCTGCTTGGAACCATTAAGTTTAGTTGTGCAATAATGTGGATTTCATATTGAGATGATATGGATTTTTCTTAAAAAGTGTTGCACTTAAGACATGTAGCAACACATGGACAAGAACCCTCTATGTCTTGATTTTAACTTAGCTAATATCCTCGAACAACTTCAACATCTCATGTTTTTTTTTGCTTGCTCCTAGTTGCAACGTGCCTGGACATTGCACCATAGCTGACTATAGTCATAATGAGCACGGTTATCATAGTGTCAGCTAGATTGTTTCATTTCACATTAAAACTTAAATTATGTTCTTATTGATCATGCTTCATGGGAACTCATATAATAGTGATGATTGCCTACAAATGGAATATTGCGAACATCACACTCTAAGTATCTTTTTGGGAATTTGGTATTTATGTCTCTACTTTAGGGTTCAATTGTGAGTTTACCTCTACTTTTTAAACTTTGTGATTTTACCCACATGATCTTGAAACGAAGGGGCCGTTTGCCCCTAGTTTGTGACAGTGGTTAGTATCAGAGAATTAAATTGCAAAAAAAGAGAAAAGGCACCCATGCGAAAAGACCAACTACATACCCCCACATTATCCTTTCTCCCAATCACAGCCAAATTGTTCACCTTTTCCCGTCATAGATGAAGCCCTATCTTTTCTCGTGCGGGGCTCGTCCGCGAGGTGGCCGATCGTGGGACTTAGGTGCGGTGCTTGGGGCCTAGGGCGTGGGCCACAGGCGAACGTCGGGTTTGTTAACCCCTATTGTAAGTGAACCTCCACAGTATGTGGGTTTTTATCCGTGTTGTATCGTTCTAGAAGATAATAGCCAGGAGTAGATGTTGTGCTTAAACTCTCATCCTTTGGCAAGATCTTTGGTTATGTGTTGTATAATTATGTTAGTGCATGCTACCTTGCTATGTAATAGCAAAGGCTAAAACTTATGGTTTGTAAGACTTAAATAACTTGTTTATAAAAGTAGTTTGTAATACTTCCGCACTTTTACTCTGATGCAATATATTTGTATCAACTATTGTAATACTACAATGATTACATGTAATGATCCTAAAGGGTTCTAAAAAGATGATGATTTACGATCCCCCGAGGACATCCGACAGACTACCAGAATTGTTTGAGTCCCATGTATATTGGTCAGAAGTCTATAAGACAATGATAAGTGCATGTGGATCAGCATAACTTGGGTGGTTCTACCACAGTCAGCGGCAGGTCCCCGCGTTGGTTGCTTGGGCTCGATGGTTGGCAGCTCAAGCTGTTAGGGCACAATCCACCATACAAGGAAGAGGCCAAGTACTTTTCAATCTCTGTGATGTGTACTTTAGCATGATTGCATGAAATAATAGTGGTGCGTAGATTTGTTAACGCATTGCTGTGATTTGTAGGCCAAATCACAAGGAGGTCAAAGTTATTGTTGGACTGCGATTATTTTTCAACTAGCCAGATAATGGTCCAAAGTTGTGGTGGCAGGGTAGAACTTTGCAAGCGAAGGTTGTTGACATGCATAGCTTTGGTTGTTGGAATTAGTTAATTTCATAGCTGAGCATTGCTTGTGGGGTTCTAAACAATACAAAACTCTGGTGTTATTTGGAGAATGAGTCTTTGGAGATAAAATCTGTGGAAAATTTGCTAGAGTGGTTTGTAACCAATATAGAGAAGGGGTTAGCATGCATCAATGCCTAGATCAATGATTTGAGGGCTCATTGCAATCACAAGTTTCACCCCACTGTGAGAAGTAGAGTACTCATGATTGAGATAACCGCAAATGAGGCAGCCAATAATGAGAGAGCCACCACGGAGACAACCATAAACATGATAGTCTCATCTAGAAAAAGAGTCAACCAAAAAAAGAGAGAGCCAAAGCTGCTTCTGCTGGCGAGGTTGTGGGGTTTGATGAAGAGGGGATATACTGTGACACATATTCACTTGTGGTGTTAAGTGGTAGCGACCATGATACTGATCTGGCTCTGATGATGATTGCTCTGACCCCGAGTTTGAACTTGATTGTGAAAAATTGTTGATGAGCATGATGAATATGATCTTCCTATGTTTTTATATGATGATCCATGCATTGATGTAAATGTAGTGTTCCCATATGTGGATCATGCAAGGTAGCAGTCACACATCATGCTATCTTGAATGATCATGCTTTCCAGTGAAAAAGACAAGAAAAATCAGGGCTATATCCAAGAGAGCTGACCAAGGTTGCAAGTGGGTCTTTTTTTGCATCTACAAGCAAGAAATAAATTGGATGCAAGGTAAATTTGGTTTGCTTTTGTATTATGTAATTCTTTGATGCCACAATGCACTTACATTGATGGTTCCTTTTTGTGTATTCTTGTGTTGTAGGTTATGACATGTGGACAAAACATTCCTGTGGTTCATTCAACATGTGTGGGGGAGACAATGGCCTCTAATAAATAGGTGGCTAACATAGTGAGATTGACTTGTTGTGAGATGAGCCTGAAATGGGATGGCAG